ATATGGACAGCATTACTGCTGAGTCCAAGGTTGTCCGCATCCAACAGGCACATATTCGTTAAGAGTCAGCAGACAGCAATCCGGAACAGAAACATGAGCTGAATTTTCCCCCTACTAAAAGGTAATAAAGCCAATTATACAATCCCAACTATTGTCCCAGCAGAGATTAGCTAACTCAGCAGATGAACGTAAGAACCTGGAATCGTCCCATCTGTATGACTTAGTATTACACTTAGCAGTGCCTTCAGATGCCAGGTCATCAAGAATAGTGTTGACGTTTTGTTTTAAACTGTGTCTGCAGTGTGCAGCTCACATTCCACAACACATGTTCCCCACCAGCCGCTGAGGGATCTTATAACATGGTGGAATCCTGTCATTATCTGTCTTCACTTTCAATCATCATATACTGCGTTACATTCCCTGAGTATGTGCCAAACTTACTTAGAAGGTCAAAGTCTAAAGGTGAAAATTAAAATTCCCCATTTGTAACCTTTTCTAGAAAGCAAGTAAATGTGAATAGTCTACTCAAGAAATGTAGCACTGGCTAGACTGGAGGGAGATACAGCTCATATAGGGTCTTAAAAGGAGCGGCTGGTGAGATAACAAGGTGCAGGGCTGGATGAACACAGCAGGCCAAGCAGCATCATAGGAGCAGAATAGTTGTTGCAATAGTTTTAATTTTAAAAAGTTCCCCTGATTCAAGGGCAGTCGCATAGATTGGAAGATAGTGAACTTAACTCCTTTATTCAAAAAGGGAGTCAGAAAGCAGGAAACTACAGGCTAATTAGCTTAACATCTGTCACACATAATATGCTAGAAACCATTATTAATGGCATTACAGCAGGGCACTTGGGATAAATTCAAGGTAATCAGGAGAGTCAACATGGTTTGGTGAAAGGGAAATCATGTTTCACCAATCTACTGGAATTCTTTGAGTAGTCACATATACTGTGGTTAAAGGGAGACTTGTGGATGTATCATACTTAGGTTTCTAGAAGGCATTTGATAAGTTGCCTTGTCAAAGGTTATTGCAGAAAATAAAAGTTCATAATGTAAGGGGCAACATTTTGGCATGGAAACAAAACTGACTGTAGTTATAAATGGGCCTTCAAGGTTGGAAAGATATAACGAGAGATCGGTGCTGGAATCTCAACAAATAATGATTTGTGTATATTACTTGCAGGGAAGGATAGAAGGTATATTTGTCAAATTCACAGATGACACAAAGATAAATAGAAAAGCAAGTTGTCAAGGGACATAAGGAGGCTACAAAAATATATAGATGGGGCAAGAAGTGGGAAGGATGTGGCAAATAGTGGGAAAATGTGAAATTGACCATCTGGCGGGAAGAATAAAACGAAGCATTTTAATCAAAAATGGTGAGAAATTACAATGTTCTGAAGTACAGAGGGATCTGGGTGTCCTCATACAAGAATCACGAGAGTTTTATGCTCAGGTATAGCAAGTAATTTATAAAATTAACAGAATGTTAACATTTATTATGAGGGGAAATAAATACAAAAATAGGGAGGTTATGCTTCAGTTGTACAGGGCACAGATGAGACTACATCTGCACAGTATTGGCCACCGTTTTTAAGAAGGATGTAAATTCATTGGAGGGAATTCAGATAAAATTTGCCAGACTAATAGTTGGAACGAACAAGTTATCTTATGGGAAAAGTTGGATAGGATCAGCATATATCCACTGGACTTTGTAAGAGTAAGAGGTGACTTGATTGAAACATAAAAGAGCGTGAGAGGTCTTCAGAGGGTAGCTGCGGAAAGGGTGTTTCCTTTTATGGGAGAATTGAGAAGTAAGGGTGCCTGGTTTAAAAATCAGGGGCTGTCATTTGGAACACAAAGTAGGCATTTTTCCCCTTTTTAGAAGGTTGAGTATGGGGTTGTTGACTTGCTCGTCAAGCTGGCTTGTTTTTGTTCAGACATTTCGTCACCATGCTAGATGATATCATTAGTGGAGCCTCCGATGAAGTGTTGTTATTCTACTTGGCTTGGAATTTTATACTGTCTGGTCTGATATGGTGAGTAGTGTCATTTCTGGTTTTGATCTGTATGGGTTTATATATTGTATACTATATACAAACCCATACAGATCAAACCAGAAATGAGACTACTCACCATAATGGACCAGACAGTATAAATTCCAAGCCGAGTAGAAAAACAATACTTCATCAGAGGCTCCGCTGATGATGTCACCTAGCATGGTGACGAAATGTCTGAACGAAAACAAGCCAGCTCAGCGAGCAAGTCAACAACCTCCATCCACAACCCAAGCTACAGATCTTTGCCAAAACTTTAAAGGTTGAGTATGTTTGGAACCGAGAGAAAGATGATGAATTCAGTCCTTAAATATTTTGAAAGCAGAGATAGATAAATTCTTCTAAAGCAAGGAGTGAAAGTTATCAGGGGTGTGTAGGAATGCAGATTTGAGATTGCATCAGATCAGACATGATCTTATTGAAGACCAGTTCTGAGGAAGGGTCACTGGAACCAAACGTTAACTGATTTTTTTCTTCACAGATGCTGCCAGACCTGCTGAACTTTTCCAGCAACTTCTGTTTTTGTTCATGATCTTATTGAAGGCTCAATTGCCTAGGTCTGCTGTTAATTTATGTTTGGTGCCTTAACTAAATACCTATTTTTCAAGCAAGAACTAAAAAAGTGAGTGTTAACAGACTATTTAACTGTGGGCTGACAGGGATTAAAACCACAGCTCTACTCAATTGTGTCATTATCAGACATTCACATATCCACTGAGTCATATAGCATGGAAACAGACCCTATAGCAAGGTATACTAAACTGATCTGGTCCCATTTGCCATCATTTGGCCCATATCCCTCTAAACCCTTCCTATTCATATACCAATCAGATTCCTTTTAAAACCCCTTCTGGTAGCTCATTCCATACATGCACCACGCTCTGCATGACAAAGTTGCCCCTTAGGACCCTTTTAAATCTCCCCCCCTCTCACCTTAAACCTATGCCCTCTAGTTTTGGACTCCACTACCCTGGGAAAAAGACCTTGGCTGTTGATCCTATCCATGCCCCTCATGATTTAATAAACATCAAAAAGGTCACCCCTCAACCTCCAACTCTCCAGGGAAAAAAGCCCCAGCCTATTCAGCCTCTCCCTTTTCTGAACCCTTTCAAGTTTAACAACATCTTTCCTATAGCAGGGAAGCCAGAACTGAAGTTTACTGGAATCAATGGTGTTAAGGAAATAAATTCAGGTTATTTTCTCTTTATCACTCAGTAACTAGCTCAATTGTGACCAGGGTACATTGAATTGAGGGATGTTCCTCATCAATCTAGTTCAATTCCACTAAAAACTGAGCTGCAGAGAAGCTACTTTTAAAAAACAACTACATACAATAAACATCAATATATGTTAAACAAAATGAATTCAAGACCTACCAGTGCAAGTTTGAACCCTTTTAGTGTGGGATTAATTGTCAGCTTTATGCACGAAGGTATCAATGTCAAAAGAGTGGCAGCAAAACTGTTGAAAGAAAACAATGTTAAATCATAAACATATAAAATTGCAACACATCAAATACAAAATAAAGTAATAAAACTTTCTCATTCACTCTAGCATTCATTAAAGTAGGAAATACTCACTTATCTCAAAACATCCTCTTTGTTTTGAGAAAGGCCCCATGTCAGAACATGGTCTCCTCTTGATACATTGCCAAAGACTAGGAAATCAACTCAGAAGAATCATCAATTGAGGATTTGGACTTAACATTGAATGCTAACCAATGTACATTCAACAATATTAAAAGTGAAGGAATCCATAATGAGGGAGCTAGAGCACCGCACAATGCGAGAGCTCAATCTGAACAAAATTCCTTAGAAATATTAATAACCTCCACGCACTTCAATGAAGCAATTGATTAGAGATAAAAACAGATGCATTCTTTTTCCTTCAATGTTTGAGCTTCAAAAGATTTGGAATGTCAGTTTAGGGTATGAGAATGTAGCAAAGCTCTGGTCCAAGGAACTAGGGATCACTGTTTGAAAATTCCACCCCCCCCCCACCACTCCGGAAGGCAGCATTTTCCCCCCTTTGGAACTGTCAGAGGAAAGAAAATGGTAAATTCAGACCCTTAAATATTTTGAAAGCAGAGTTAGATAACTTTTCACCCCTTGGTTTAGGAGAATTGATCAGGGGTATGTAGGATGCAGATTTGAGGCACAATCTGATCAGACATGATCTTATTGAAGGCTCAATGGCCTAGATCTGAGGAAGAGTTATTTCTGTCAAAGAGTCGTGAATCTGTGGAATTCACTGCCCCAGAGTACGGTGGTTGCCAGGACACTGAAAAAATTTGAGGATATGGATAGATTTTTACTTAGTAATGGGTTAAAGTGTTTTTGGGGCCAGGAAGGAAAGTGGAATTGCGGCTGAGATGTGCCATGATCATCTTGAATGACAGAGTGTCCACTCCTGCTATGTTCTCGGCACGATCTAAACTATCTGTGCACCATTCTCCTCTTAAGCGTCTGACAATGTTCTTCGGTTCTAGATTTAGTGGCCATTTATCCACTCCATAAAGTATCTTCAACAGTAATTCTCCAAAATCTTCAGATTGAGCCTTACCACTCCAACCTGTCTTTGTAACCGAAATACCTTTGAGTATCAAAGTCTGGATATCTTCACTGTGACCAGAATTACACATACTACTCCAGGCATCATTATAGTTATGACTTGTACAGGCTCTACCTCCTCAGATGTGCTTAATCTTTCTGGCTATACCAAGATCCAGTCAACTATCTTTCCCATTCTTGCACACTGGTGTTAATGATATAAAAACCAATGTCCCCAAATCCATCACATGCTATGTTCTGTAACTTAGAATTTTATTTTACCTTCCCACTGTTTATTTCCCTTTATTAGTCACAGAACCCTTAATCTTTCCAACTTAAATGCAACCCAACTACCCAGGTTTTATTTTCATTCTTGATTTTTTAAACCTTTCAGATCACCTACAAACTTGATGGCTTTATAAGACAGACTTGTCACACTGGCCGGAATTAAAAGTTGGCAATGGCGCCCTTGCCCAGCAACGGGATAACATGTGGGAGCCTTTCTCCAGGAGGCCAATGTTATGTTGAGGTAATTGGGTACTTACCCAGCAGTGTCAGGCCACCCACCTGTTGGGTGGGAACCATGACCGGGAGCTGGTCAGTTACAAGCTGGTCATACCACTGGAAGCAGTGATCCCCATCTGTCTTACAGTGGGGCCTACTATAATGATTGCTAGTGGAATCCCAAACAAAGGTGAGTGCATCAGCAAGATAGGGAATGGAGGCTGTGGCGTAGGGGTGGGAAGGGTTTGGTCTGAAGCAAAGTAAGGAAATGTTATCTATAGGGGACCAGTCTCCTGATCCTGGGATCTTTGATGGAGTACAGAGAGTCCATGAATGAATGAATGACCCACCCCCCGCAACAAGTAGGCTGCTGGAAAATTCAGGCCGGTTTGCTGGGCAGTCTTCCCAAATGGCGGGCCACTGCCTGGTGCTGGTTGAATTCCAGCAGTAGTGGATTAATACCTTTAAGTGCATATTTATGGGCTTCAATTGATCTTTGAACAAGAATGCTGCCTGCAAGCCTTCATACTTTTGATGTGTTCATCCCCTTACTTGATCACATTGCCCAATCCACCTTAGGGAAGTAGTGGTGGGTGGTGGCAGCGGAGTGAGGGGAATTAAATTTTGTCCACTGCTTCAGTACAAAGCATTTTTGTGCCAGGTATAAACTGCATTGATGCAGATTACATGTTCTGTAACAGTCTGCCTTAACTAACCCCATCAATTAACATCAAGCACCAGTGTGACAATTTACTTTCCTAGTGGTTGTGACAGATTACTAGTTTAGTTACAATTTATCTTGAATTATGGGCAATTTAGTGCTGTAAACCTACGTCCAGTAGAAACAATAATGGCAACTCCCCAGTAACCTCCTTTCCAGTAGGAAAACACACATCCCTTCTCGTAGAATGTAATTTCAAAGTCCACAAGAGAAAATACATACAAGACAAAACACCCAACAGCAAAGATAAAATTTAGCTTATTACAGCATTTTTAAAAATCTGTTCTGAAGCTTCCAGATCTCAAATACTGACAGTGCATTATGTGCTCCAAGCTGCCATTCTTTGTGTTGAGAGTGTATCAAGTCCAATCTGTCTCCACCTACCATTGACAAGTCTGCATTTTTCCCCAGAAGTCAATAGTTAGATAATCTCCTCAGTTGAAAAGGGCATTGAGGTCAATTGCAATGTCCCCCAAGTCACAACAGCTGTGTTCAGCTAACTTAAACATATCAAGGGTCACAGCTTCTTAGTCCAAATGGCTCAGCACTACAGGAGGCAGCATATTCACCTGCTGAGTTATTGCAAGTGCTTCAAAATACTAAATTTAGAATCACTTGCAGTGAACTGGACTTTTAGATAGACCATACACATACTACACAAATTAGCCATTCAAGTCACTAACAGTCCACTCAACTCTGTGCATAATAAGAATTCATAGATTGCTGTGAATATTAAATATGTACACAAGATAAATGGATAAGTTGTCGTAAATGTTATCTTTAATGTGTTCTGTAGTCCTGGCTTACTTGTGAGAAAAATAAATGTTTATATTTATTTCTAATAAATACATACATGTTGTTATAAATTATTATTCATTTTGTTTTTTTTTCAGCCAGGCTGATTGGGACCTCATCTTGAAACCAGTCTGAGGATGGAGTAGAATCAAAATAAACCATGTTTCAACTTCATATCCATTTTAATTATTCATTTACAAGATGTGGGCGTCACAGGCTAAAATATCATTTATTTTCCATTCCCAATTGCTTGAAAAGGTGGTAGTGATTTGCTGTGTTGAACCTGTGCAATCCATGTGGTGTAGGTACACCTACAGTGCAGTTAGGGAGGGAGTTACAGGATGACAGCAAAGGAATAGTGGTATAATTCCAAGTCAGGATGGTGTGGGACTTGGAGGAGAACTTTCAGATGGGGGTATCCCCATGTATCTGAAGCCCTTGTGCTGTTAGATGCTACAGAATGCGGGTTCGGAAGGTGCTGTCTAAGGAGCCTGTGTAAGTTATTGCAGTGTATCTTGTCGATGTTGCTATTGTATCCCAGTGGTGGAGGATATGAATGTTGAAGATGTTAGATGAGCATCAGTTAATTAGGCTGCTGTGACCAGGAAGGTGTCAAGCTTCTTTAGTGTGGTTGGAGACTTTACTCATTCAGACAAGTGGACAGTATTCCATCACACCCGCTTGTTTCAGCATCTGGGGTATTTTGCTTTTATTAGATCTGATTTGTTGGTTGTAGGATCACTTAGATGTCTACTGCATGCTGTTTACACTGTTTGACATGCTGACAGTTCTGTGCAGCTTCACTATTTTGACACCTCTTTTAGGTATGCTTAGTTATGCTCTTGGCATGTACTCCTACACTCTTCATCAAAACTGGGTTGATCCCAAAACTTGATGGCAATGATAAGATGGGGGAATGTGTGGGTGAAGAGGTTAGATTGTTGCACAGTTCAATTCTGCTGCCACTGATTGCCCAAAACACCTCATTAAAGTCCAGTATTGAGGTGCTAGGTCTGTTCAAATCTTGACTAGTCTGTGCAATAGTTCTCCCAATTCTAGCAAAAGCCACCAGATATTAATAAGGAAGACTCTGCACTGTCAAGTGCTCCGTTGTCAGTTCTGGTGTCTTGCTTAATGCCATATGGTCTGTCCGATTACATTCCTTTTATAAGATTTTTTAGCAGTTAGATAAAACAAAGTAGCTTGCTCGGCCACTTAAGATGGCCACTTAAGATGGCATTTAAAAACAAATATGTTGCTGATGATTAGTGAACTAGGTGGCTTTCAATGACAATTAACAATTAATGGCTTCCTGGTCACTAGTCTAGTTTTTGTTTCTAGATTTATTAATTGAACTCAAATTTCACCAAACGCAATGGTGAGATTCAAATCCATGCCCCAGAGCATTTGCCTGGTTTTACTGATTAATATTACAACACCTTCAATGCATTTTATGTAAACTGGTAAACCACTTAAAGTAAAGAGTTCCAGAATTATGACCCACCAACTAAGAAGGAATGAAGATATAGAAACATGTCAGGATGCGGTGAACTTGGACAGAAACAGCAGTGCTGATGTTCCCATGCACTTATTGTCCTTATTCTTGCATGGGTTTGGAAAGTGCTGTTGAAGAAGCCTTAGTGAGTTACCACAGTCCATCCTGTAAATGATCTACTACTGCTGTTGTGGAAGGGATTAATGCTCAAGGTGATGAATGGGGTTTCAATCAAATGGGCTTTGTCCTGGACGATGTTGTGCTTCACATGTTGTTCAAGCAGTACTCACGCAGAAAGTAAAGAGTATTCCATCACACTCCTAACGTGTACCTTGTAAATGGTGGACGGGAGTAGGATGTCAGGGAATGAGCTACTTTGCGCAGAATATATACTTCCTGATCTGCTGTTGTAATGGTATTTATCCAGTTAAGTTTTAACTAAATGGTAACCCCTACGATGTTTGTGGTGGAGGATTCAGCAATAATAACACCACTAAATGTCACGGTGAGGTGATTAGATTTGCTTTGGTTAGTGATTGTCATTGTTTGGCATTTGTGTGATGTGAATGTTTACTACTAATCATCAGCCCAAACCTGAATGTTGTCCTGGTCTTGCTGCAGCTGGGCACAGACTTCTGCACTCATTAGTGAACGTCCACACTTCTGAACTCATATAGGGAAGGTCATCGAGGAAGCAGATACTTGTGCCTAGGACCAAATCTTGCAGTGATGTCCAAGGGTTGAGATGATTGGACACCCACAACCACCTTAAGATGTGCTAGGCCTGGCTTCTGCCAGTAAAGACCTTGCTCCTCATTTTCACTAAACTTAATTTTAGTGGCCTCCTTGTTACCAAAATGGCTGACGTGCTGCCTTGATATCACTGCAGTCACTCTCAACATACCTCTGGAATTCAGCTCTTCTGTCCATGTTGAGAGAAAGCTGTAATAAGGTCTAGAGCAAGAGGTCCTAGCGAAACCAAACGTCTTTTTATTCATTCACAGGATGAGGGCGTCGCTGGCTAGGCAACACTTATTGTCCATCTGTAATTGCCCAGAGGGCAGTTAAGAGTCAACCACATTGCTGTGGGTCTGGAGTCACATGTAGGCCTGAGCAGGTAAGGATGGCAGTTTCCTAATGGAAATTAGTGAGCCAGATGGGTTTTTCCAACAATTGGCAATGGATTCACGATCATCATTAGACTCTTAATTCCAGATATTTGTTGAATTCAAATTCCATCATCTGCCGTGGTGGGATTTGAACCGAGGTCTCCAGAACATTATCTGGGTCTCTGGATTAACAGTCCAGCGATAATACCACTAGGCCATCGCCTCCCCATAAACTGAGCAGGTTACTGGTGAGTAAATGTCATTGAATAACACTATCTCTTTCTTTTCATATATTTAAAGATTTCTTTTATATTATTTGATAGTTTATTCTCAAACTTTATTTTCTCTCTTTAAAATCCATCAAAAGCTTTCCCAATCCTCTGGCTTACTACTATTCTATACTTTCTCAACTTGATGCTATCCTTAATTTCCCTAGTTAATCATGGTCAGTTTATCCCCTTCCTAGGATCCTTCTTCCTTACTGGGATATATCTTTGTTGTAAACCATGAATTATTTTCTTAAATGTTTGGCATTTAACAATTGTTCAACAACTATCTTTTTTGCTAAACGCTTTCCCAGTCCACTCCAACCTACTCTCCTGTCATTCCTTTGTAATTATTCTTATTTGTATTTAGCACAGTTGTTTCTGATTCAAGTTTATCACTCCCCTACTGAATACTAAATTCTACCATTTTATCGTCAGTTTCCTAAAGAATCTTTTATTGAGATCATTTATTAAATTTGCTTCATTATACATCACCGAATCCAAAATAGTCTGATCCGTAGCAGGAACAATAAAGAAGTTGCTGAAAAAGCTCAGCAGGTCTGGCAGCATCTGTGAAGGAAAAAACAGAGTTAACGTTTCGGGTCCAGTGACCCTTCCTTCCGAGGACCCGAAACGTTAACTCTGATTTTTTTTTCTTCACAGATGTTGCCAGACCTGCTGAGCTTTTCCAGCAACTTCTGTTTCTGTTCCTGATTTACAGCATCCGCAGTTCTTTTGGATTTTATTTTGATCTGTAGCAGGGTCCACAACAGAAGGGAGATTGGTTAGTCTTGCGAGCTCCAAGGAAAATGAGGGGATACATTCTTGAGATGTACAAAATTATGAAGGCAGAGATAAGGTAGACAAGACGAGGTTTCGCCCTTGGTTGCAGGATCAATGACCAGATGTACAGACTTAAATTAACAGGCAGGAGGTTTAGAGGGAATGTGAGGAAACACTTTCACCCAGAGGGTGGTGAGAATCTGGATCTCACTGCCTGAGACTGTGGTAGAGGCAGATGCTGTCATAACATTTATGTAGTATTTAGATGTGCACTTGTGATGACAAGACATTCAAGGTTATAGGCCAAGTGCTGGGAAATGAGATTAGAATAGTTGGGCTTGTTTTTGACCAGTGCAGATCTGATGGGCTGAAGGACCTTTTTCTGTGCTGTAGATGTCAATGACTAAATGATGACACTTTGATCAATTTACTGATGACTGAAAGAAGTTCAATGGAATATTAATTGGTCAGATAGGACTTGGTCTACTTTTTGTGGACAGGACATAGCTGGCAATTTTCTGCTTTGTTAGGCAGATGCAGTGTAGTAACTGTACTAGAACAGTTTGGCAGTAGTACAAGTCTTCAACACTACAACCTGGATATTCTCTAGGCTCTTAGCCTTTGTGGCATGCAGTGTGCCCAGCTATTTCTTTATATCACTGGTAGTGAACTGAAATAGCCAAAGATTGGTCTGTATGATGCTGTGGACTTCAGAATGAAGCGGACATGGACCATCCACTTAGCACTTCTGGCTGAAGATGGTACAAACATTCCGGCCTTGTCTGAATGGCTATTTGAGCATGATGTTTGAAATTAGGTGGCATCAACTGAACCACCTCCCAATACAAGTTACCATCTTTAGCAAAGGTGAGGAGAACATTGTTATTAATTATTCATTTAAAAGTTCAGAGCATATTTGTTTGTTAACCACAATTACCTCCAAAAATACCACACTATCAATGGGGGGTGTTGGTGATAAAAGACAGCTATGAAATGTTAACACAGCCAAAGCATTACCTGAGCCAAACTTGGGTTAGAGGAGATAAAACCTTCTTCACCTTCAATATCACAGATAAACTGCACCACACATTTCCAACTTTATCCTATGTAGAAAAAAAAAGTGAATAATTAGAGATAATGTGCAAATTGTTTCACTGAATATCAGTAACCTTGGAAAATGTTAACAACAATCAGAAACAGGCCATTCCACTTGTAATTCCAATTTTTAGATTACTTGTTAAACAGCTTTATCCCACCAGAGCCTACATAGTAACCATGTACTTCCTTGTCCTCTCTGTCCATTATCATGATGACTCATACAAACAATGAGATCCTATGGAACATGCACATGATAACCTGTGGTGGGTATTCACCAGCAAATACACATTTGAAATATGAATAACAAGACAAGGTCTTCTAAAAGATGCAGAGAAGTGTAACAAAGCCTATTCTGGAACATAAAATACTTGGTAATTGAAACAAGAGCAAAGAACTAGAATTGTTCTCATTGTCAGAAAAATG